CCCCGTAAACGTTGCCTTATAAAATGGCATGAATGATGCTACTTGTTCTAAGAATATCCAGGGAAAGAAAATTCTATGGTACTTATATATTCTTTTCCTGAAGCCTTGCCGCCAATATGATTTCTGGTACAGACCGGATTGACTTGAGCTAAAAGAGCTTATGTCCATGGCAGGAAAATCCTTCCTCTTCGTTTCTTTTTTTTTGTCCTGATCTTCATTACTTTTCACTGCAGCTGTGATGCGGTAAGGATTTGTCCCGGCACGTTCGTTGTCATTTTAATTTTAAAAAGTGGAACCGTGGGGTTCTTACGTGGGCCGCGCATTGTAAAGGCTTCTTCATTTAATTTCAATCCAATCTTTAGATTTTTTTATTATACTCTGTTCAGTTGGAATGCCGCTGTTTTTCTCCTTTCATTCTTGTAATTCCTAACACCATATAGAGAGAAACAGAGCTCTCACACTCTGTCGTTCTCTGCAGTTTCAAAAATGAGAGAAGAAACTTCATTGACTGGCCCTTCCAAATTCTCTTGCTACCCCTTTTTAGGTATTTACTTCCAAACTTGTTCGAACTTTCTTTCTCCAATTTCATTTTCGCTTCTCATGTCTTTTATTAGATGATTATAAATGAACTCCGCTGTTTGGTTTTGAATTGAATGTGAATGCCAATTCTTCGATATTTTCTTTTAATACGGTCGGATTGCATTGCTTTGAATCTTTTTATCATCACTTTGACTTTGATTTTCTGCATTATAAGGTTACCTCTCAACGTTCTTGATCTCTTTCTCCTTTTTGTTTTCCATCTTTTAACATTTTACAATTTTCCTAGTATTTTTTCCTTTTTTGTTATTTTCCTTCAAAATATTTTTACTTTTTCTTTCGTCAAAATTTGAATTTTCAACGAATAGTATGATTCAAGTCAACCCATCGATATCATAAACTTTTTGGGTGGGAATTACAACTTTTAAAAAAGTGCACAAAAAGAGAGAAATTATAAACCACTAGAAAAATAAATGAATCAATTCTAAGTTTCCACAATAATTCCACATTTGCTTTTGCTAATAATTGATGATCAATACAAAACGCAGAAATTCAAACTTAATGGACTCCTTCTATAACCAAAGCAACTAACTCAAACGTCCTAAACAGCAACATTAAGCTGGTATTTGCAAGAAGCTGTGCCAACAACTATTCATCACCAGAGAACCTTACCAAGTATCTGCGCTCCAATTCTCTGTCCAGAAGCGGCAACAGCAGCTCCTCCGAAAAAAGCAGCTTCAGATCATCGTTTTCGCCACAGTTGGAGAAGACACCAGTGAAGGCGGTGGAGGAGGATGTGCTCGTCATGGACGGAGATCTTGGTGCTTCTTCTGATACTCTAATATTGTAGAACCCGGTTCTTCTTCTTCTTCTATGTGGATCCACGTGTCAGGTATATTTCTCTGCAGCATTATCTAATATGCTTAGATTTCTTGATTATGTAAATATTGTTTGGAATAAGGTACCGTTTGATAACTGTCTTTGTTTTGTTGCTTTGCCTTGGTCTAGCTCTTTTGTTTTGGTGTCATTGTCTATGTAATCGATGATTTAGTGTATTTGAGCTGTAAGAATCTGTCTGTGGCACCTGTTTCGGAGAGACTGAAGTACATTTGTGAATGGTGATCAATTGGTCTATTTGCATTTGTTGACCATGGTTAACGGTCTCTTTCTTCACTGTTCTTTTGTGAGGAAATAGATTGACAAAGCTCTAAAGTCAATATTTGCCTCGTTGAAAAACGATTCAATAATTGAAAGTGAAAGTGCAGGTAGCCTGTAGGTAGTAAATAGGATGGTTTAACCTTTGAAGTCGATAGATGCCAACTGAATATGAGGCGCATTTTCCATTACCAGCTGCAGCAAAGGAGTCGACTTTCAGACCTCGAAATTTCAGTTTCCATGTTCTTGCTGAAAGTAGAAGCCGGTGAGCTGTACAATTCACATTGCTGTACTGACCTCTTCCATTGGAGATGGTATTGTCCCTCTTTTTTTTTTATGAAAACTACCTTTTCATTAGCTGATCCAACTCTATGTTGGGATTTGCCTTGAATCTCAGAATCCCACATCGAAAGTTAAGTAAGTTTGAATTTGTCTTGTATCCCACATCGAGAGTTTAGTAAAGGTATAAAGGGTTTCACCCTTATAAATAAGATGTTTTGATTTTAGTTTAGTAACCCCAGAGAGTCAGACACCAAGAGAATAGCTAAGTAAGTAGGCTATTAAAGGGTGTAATTGGGTTTTGGGTTAAGTTTTGAGTAAGGAGTTTTAGGAGACTTCTCATTCTAAAAGTCTCACAATTGTAAAGATTTATTTGATAGTGGATTAGGTTTGGAGTAGGCCATTTTGAGTTGGGCCGAACCAAATTTATTTGTGTTTTCTTATTCTTGATTTGAGCTTGTTATTTTGTGTGTGGTTGCTGCGCGTGGGTGTTGTTTTTCCCAACAAGTGGTATCAGAGCGAGGTTCGAGGTTCGAGGTTCGAGGTTTAAGGTTCGTGGGTCCAAGAGATCGTGAAGCAGTGTTTGAAGATGTCTGAAGAAGGTATGTCTGGTATGTCTATGCCTAAGTTTGAGATTCCGTTATTTGATGGAAAGAGTAATTTTATGTTATGGCAAAGTACGATTCAAGATCTATTAGTACAACAAGGGTTGGATCAGGCATTAGAGAGTAGTAAGCCTGAAGGAATGTCTGATGCTAATTGGAATAGGATTCAGAAGAAAGCCGTTAGTACTATTAGATTGGCGTTAGCTCCAGAAGTAAAGTACAGTGTGTTGACTGAGAGTACTCCGAAGAGTTTGTGGGATAAGCTTGAAGGTATTTATGCTTCGAAGTCGTTGACTAATAGATTATGTTTGAAGATGGATCTGTATTCTCTGAAGATGGAAGAAGGTATGAGTCTTCATAATCACCTGAATGAATTTAATAAATTGGTTTCTCAATTGTTAGCGATTTCTGTTGATGAGTTAAAAGATGAAGAGAAGGCTTTAATTTTGTTGTCATCTTTATCCAAGTCTTATAGGCCTTTAGTTCAGACTGTGTTGGTAGGCAAGTCTACTTTGAAGTTGGATGATGTGACTGCCCTGTTGCATGAGAATGAAAGGTTTATGGGAGCTCAGAACTCATCACCTGGGGGGAGTACACTAGCTGTGAAGGGTTTTGATCGAGGGAAGACTCAAAAGAGGATTGATGGATCAAGATGGAGATCCAAGTCAAGAGACAGAGATTACAGTGATGTAGAATGTTATTATTGTGGTAAGAAGGGACATATCCAAATGCGCTGCAGGAAGCTGATAAGGGATATGGCTGCTTTCAAAAGGGCGAATGATGAAAAGAAATCAAATGAAAAAAAGAGTGATACTGCTGCTGTCGTGTCTGATGATGATGATGATGTTGTTTTGACAACTTGTGTGGATGAGACCCAGATTTTGAAAAGTGATAAAGGTTGGGTTTTAGATTCAGCTGCTACAGTTCATGTTTGCAATGATAGGAGCTGCTTTGTGGAGTTGAATGAGAATGAAAAGTATGGGGATATTGTGGTTGTTAACAAAGAAAAGGTGCAGATTCAAGGCATTGGGAGTGTTTGCCTTAGATCTCACAATGGTGTTATTAGGACACTTCGTCATGTAAGGTATGTACCAAATTGTCACTACAATTTGATTGCTTTATGTGAGTTAGCTTCTCGGTGGTACACATTTTATGGTAGTAATGATTGGTTGAAAGTGTATAAGAATGATAGTGTGATTCTACAAGGGAATAGGGTCAATCACTTGTACATGTTTGATGGAGGCTCAGTTGCTGGAATGCCTGTGATGAAAGAAAAGAAGAAAGGTAAGCATGTTAGCTTCACAGATACTGTTGAAGTGTTTGGAGATTCAAGTCAAGGGAGGATTTGTTGGGATTTGCCTTGAATCTCAGAATCCCACATCGAAAGTTGTAAGTTTGAATTTGTCTTGTATCCCACATCGAGAGTTTAGTAAAGGTATAAAGGGTTTCACCCTTATAAATAAGATGTTTTGATTTTAGTTTAGTAACCCCAGAGAGTCAGACACCAAGAGAATAGCTAAGTAAGTAGCTATTAAAGGGTGTAATTGGGTTTTGGGTTAAAGTTTTGAGTAGGAGTTTTAGGAGACTTTCATTCTAAAAGTCTCACAATTGTAAAGATTTATTTGATAGTGGATTAGGTTTGGAGTAGGCCATTTTGAGTTGGGCCGAACCAAATTTATTTGTGTTTTCTTATTCTTGATTTGAGCTTGTTATTTTGTGTGTGGTTGCTGCGCGTGGGTGTTGTTTTTCCCAACACTTTATGCACCGCAATGACCCTGTTTTCTTTTTTGATTGAACCCTTCTCAAAGGTTTTCTTTTTCACTAATTTAAGGATGAAGCCTTAAATTTTCTCTGTTTACAAATGGAAAGGAAGACGTATGCCCAACTTGTTTCCCATTCAGGAGCAAATCCGAGGTTAGCATCTATGAAATAGTATCTGAAATATTTATATGCCAAAACATTGATGCACGTAACTACTAGAAGGTCATTGTACGTTTCTCTCAGAGTTGTTTAGGCACAGATGTACAAGTCACATGTAAGCACTGTGTTAAGCACATAGTGTTCAAAACCCCGCCTTTTGCATCCAGTCACGGAAACAGCAGCCATTATAGCCCAAGGGGACTCATATACCAGGTCTGATTACACAAGCCACAGGTTCAGCGCTCGCGTCAAACCTGAAGAGACAATCATCAACTCCATCTTCACTGTTCAACCTGAAAACAACAACTTGACCTCCGACTTCACAATGAAACCTAAAACCAACAAGACCACCACCACGATCAGACCTGCCATAGTTTCCTGGCAAAACCTCATCAAGGGCGGACATCAATGCATACATTGACAGTGTTCTCTATTGTCCTGCTACAAGGAGGAGCTTACCAGTGTTTTCTGCGTTTTGTCCAGAGTAACGATCTCCTATATGCTTGAAAAAATCCTTTGATTCTCAACTTTGGATCAAGGTATAATCAATATTTTCTTGCTGTTTGGTCAGCTTGAACTCTTCCCACCTTCAGTCATCTTATTGCTCAACATTCATGAGTAACCATAAACAATTTTCCACGGACATGCATAAGCCTCTGCATATATTAACAATTACAGTAGAATTTACAAATCAAAACCACATACAGATTCGGATGGTTTGCAGGGTGTAGATTTAAATATGTTGTTCAAATTTTTAGTGGATATCTTCATGGATTTGATCATGTTGCAGTCCTTCTCCCTTCTTTCCAGGTCCTGCTGTGTTTGTTTCATGTGCCTGTTGCTCGCCTGCTTATGTTTTTGTGATTAGCTATTGCAGTTGGTACTTTCATTTCTGAGATCACCTGATGGCTCATGACTTAATTTTAGTTCTACCAATTAAGGTAGTAGTCCGACTTATCTTATAACAAAGTTGATTTGGGAATTTTCTTTTCAGTTATGAATTATACGTGTTACCCATTTTATATATTTATATGTCTATATTTAAATATACATTCATTATCAGAACACGAATGGATAAGGCACGTTCGAAACTAGAATCAGCTTAAAAACTGAAAGATGTGTGGACAACTTTACAACAACCTCATCTAAACAAAACGAATGCCTCTCACTCTTTCTCCATCCTCCAACTTCTCTCTCCTCCCTCCCACCCCCAATAGAACCACCCATCGTTTCTTCAAGTTCAGTATTGCCCATGCCTCCACCCAACTGGCCCCCAAACCTCCACCAGTCCTCAAGACAGCTCCTGTCATCGTCATTGGCGCCGGCCTCTCTGGCCTAGCCGCCGCTACCCGTCTTAACTCCGAAAACATCCCCTTCCTCCTCCTAGAGGGTTCTGATGGCGTTGGTGGCCGCGTCCGGACCGATGTTGTCGATGGCTTTCTCTTGGACCGTGGCTTCCAAATCTTCATTACTGCCTACCCTGAAGCTCAGAAGCTGTTAAATTACAATGAGTTAAATCTCCAAAAGTTTTACTCTGGTGCCAGAATTTACTACGATGGTCAATTCCACACAGTTGCTGATCCTTTGCGCCATTTCTCGGACTCCCTTTTGTCCGTTACAAATCCCATTGGGTCAGTTCTTGATAAGCTGCTTATTGCTTTGACGAGGGCTCGAGTTTTGAGTAAATCTAATGAAGAAATTCTGACTGCCAAAGAGGTTTCAACTATTGAATTATTGAAGAATATTGGCTTTTCAGATTCAATGATTGGAAGGTTTTTCAGACCCTTCTTTGGTGGGATTTTTTTCGACAGAGAGCTTGAAACTACTTCAAGACTTTTCGATTTCGTCTTCAGATGTCTAGCTCTCGGCGATAACACTCTTCCCGCTAAAGGGATTGGTGAAGTTCCAAACCAATTGGCAGCAAAATTGCCATCCGATTCAATCCTGTTAGACACCAAAGTGGTTTCCGTTGATTTTGAGGACTCAAATTCACCGTCCGTGAGATTGGAGAGTGGCCAAATTCTCAAGAGTGAGCTCGGAGTAATAATGGCGATTGAAGAACCAGCTGTTGATAAGATTTTGGCGGGAAGGAAACCAACGGCCCTAAGAAGACCACCCCGAAGTACGGTTTGTTTGTACTTTTCAGCAGATCAGTACCAAATTCCTGTTCGAGACCCTGTCCTGTTTCTGAACGGTTCAGGTGAAGGGATCATCAATAACATGTTTTTTGCTACAAACGTGGCTCCATCTTATGGCCCTTCAAACAAAGCTTTGGTATCTGTATCATTGATCGGGTTGTTTGAGGATACCTCGGATGATGATCTGAGGGCTGAGGTGATCATGGAGCTTTCAGGTTGGTTTGGAGCTGCAATGGTTGAGTCATGGAGGCACTTGAGAACATATCGGATTGGTTTTGCCCAACCGAACCAATCCCCACCAACAGATTTGATGAAAAACCCTAACGTTGGACCGGGTCTATATTTGTGTGGAGATTATATAACGTCTGCTACTTTTGATGGAGCTCTGGTTTCGGGTGGAAGAGCAGTGGAAGCTTTGTTAAAAGACAGAGCGTTGGCTCGGGTTTGAAAACCCTTATTTTGGCTTTTATTGAATCTGACAGCGTTGTTTAGTTGCAAAAGTTTCTTCTAGATAAATCCAAATTTTTCATGAACATCGCTGGCCAATGCCATTCATTTCTAGTGGTTACTTTTGAGAAGATAGGGTAGTGAATTAGGGTTCATTTGACAAGGTGTTAAAGACGCGTTACATTTATTCTTTTATGATCTGTAAGACGTTGCATTTGATAATTTTTTTTTAATCCTTTCGTCATGTTATCGGATGAATCCTTAATTGTTACTAAAAATTAAAGATTAAGATTGGGTAAAAGTTTTTTAAAAAAATAACACTCCAATAATGAAGTTCAAAAGTAAATTTTACCACTAGTATTATTTACCAAGATGAAAATTTGGATGAAAGCCAGTTTTTTTTTTTTTTAATTCCTAAAACCATAACCCTGGGTAATATTACAAAACAAACTCCTGTAGAAAATTTTTTAGAGGACACGTCACAACAGGAGCAAGGACTTTCCACATAACTGTCACTGACTTTTTTTTTTTTCCTCAAAAAGTGTCACTTACTCAGTGTCAATTTTTTTCACAAACATTTCAATATCTGAAATTTAGAATTTGAAAAAAAGAAAAAAGAAAAAACTAGTGAAGTATTAAAAGAAGAGGTAAAAAGTTTTAGCAGGATTCATATCAGGCGGCATCTCTCCAGTCTCACTAGCAATTACCTGCATCCCCGGGGATTGCGGTGAAGATTTGACGAACAACGGATTCAGTTCATCAGTTTGGCTAAAACTGAAAGCAAAAGTCGCCGCTTTCACTCTGTTGTGAGAGGCGAAGCGAAGCGAAGCAGAGCATAGCAGAGGCCAAGGATTAAAGAAGAAACAGAGAACCAAAATGGAGGACGAAGCACTGAACCCACACTCAACTCTCTACGAGGCCTACAACGAACTCCACGGTCTAGCTCAAGAACTAGAGGCTCCCTTCGACGCGCCAGCGGTGCTGGTCGTAGGACACCAAACGGACGGCAAAAGCGCGTTGGTCGAAGCCCTCATGGGCTTCCAATTCAACCATGTTGGTGGCGGAACCAAGACTCGCCGACCCATCACTCTCCACATGTCTTACGACCCTCTTTGCGACGTCCCATTGTGCCATCTCGTCTCTGATGACGACCCCACTCTCGCCCACGAAAAATCTCTCCCCGAAATTCAGGTTTTTTAAATTTCTTTCCTATTTTTTGTTAGCAATTCAAGATTAAGTTTTAAATGCACCAATCAATGTGATTTTCCTTTTAGGCCTACATTGAAGCTGAAAATATGAGGTTGGAACATGAGCCATGTCAATTCTCAGCTAAAGAAATCATCATTAAAGTGAAATATAAACATTGTCCGAATTTGACTATTATCGATACTCCAGGGCTTATCGTTCCTGCTCCGGCTCGAAAGAACCGTGCTTTGCAGGTCTTTTCCCAACCCGCCGAGTATTTCTAGTTAATTTTGTTTCTTACATTTCTGTAATGTGATGGTTTTGTTGGTGGTGACATTCAAGCAGAGCCAAGCGCGTGCGGTGGAGTCCTTAGTGAGAACAAAGATGCAGCATAAAGAGTTCATTATATTATGTCTTGAAGATTGTAGTGACTGGAGTAATGCAATGACTAGAAGGGTTGTAATGCAAGTATGTATTTTTCTAGTTGCCTAGTGCTTGTAAGTGTTAACTTTTTAGCACAACGAATGTAGCTTTCTGGTTGTGCAATGCTTCTAACTTGGGTGGGTTGAGAATTTAGGAAGGTTACTCGTTCTTTATAGGGTCAAAGCCAAAATACTTCTCTTCAGGTCAGGTGTCTTTTAAAGAAATAGCATGTGTGTGTGTGTGTGTGTGTGTGTGTGTGAGAGAGAGAGAGAGAGAGAGAGAGAGAGAGAGAGAGAGAGATTGAATATTCTTGCATTTAAGAGTGAATTCCTTGAGGAACTAAACTACCAGTGTTGGAAGCAATTTCTACTTTTGAGTTGTTTGGTGCTGAGCTTTTAAGTCGTCTAGCAGCAAACATAATCTTTGGCATTCCTTATTATAACTAGCTTTAGCTTTAGCTACTTAGTTTTCTGGTGCTATGAACTACTCCTGTGGAAATGCAGAGAAATGAATTGATCCTTTTAAATCATTTATATCAGTTATGATGATGTTTCAAAGCTAAACTTTTTGTGGGTTGATACTTGGTTCAGATTGATCCAGAGCTTTCGAGAACAGTCATTGTCTCTACCAAGCTTGATACCAAAATTCCTCAGTTTGCACGTTCTTCAGATGTGGAAGTCTTTCTCTCACCACCTGCATGTACACTTGATGGTTTCATATTGGGTGACTCTCCATTCTTTACATCAGTGCCTTCTGGAAGAGTTGGTTCTGAGCATGATTCTGTTTACAGATCAAATGACGAGTTTAAACAGGTTTGGTCCTGCCTTCAAAAAAATCATGGAGTTGGTTATGGTACTGAGATTTTTTTTTTTTTGTGCCATAAGCTTAGTGTTGTGCTGATCAATATTTTTTTTTCCTTCCCTTTTCTGGTGGATAATGTAGTTTCCTGAGGAAAATATTTAAAGGGTCATCCTGAATAAAAATGGCTCAAAGCAAAGAAACTTAAAGAAAAAATTTAGAAATTAGTCAGTAAATCTAAAATATGAACTATCTCCACACTTTACATTATGCTGTATTGGGATATTAGACCAAAGTCGATCCATTCATTCTCCCTCCTTTGATTTTGGTTCATAGTAAAATTGAAAATTATTAATATTTGTTATTTTTAATGCAGGCAATAGTTTCTAGAGAGATGGAAGATATAACATCTTTGGAGGAGAAGTTAGGACAGCAATTGTCAAAGAAAGAAAGAAGTAGAATAGGTGTAAGCAAACTTAGGCTTTTTCTGGAAGAATTGTTACAGAAAAGGTATGCATGTTTTATTCCATTCCAATCAAACTAACCAAGGATGTTGAGACTTGTTATATCACCTAACTAAATTTTGGAAAATATATGATTGCAAGGTACATGGATAGCGTTCCATTGATAATTCCACTTCTTGAGAAGGAGTACCGCAGCGCAACAAGAAAGTTAACCGAAATAAATAAGGAACTCAGGTTTATTGTTGAGCTTACTGAGAGCATTTTTCTTTTGGCAATTTGAGAAGGATTTAATTAAAACCTTTTGATTGCTGGAAATAAGATGATGATTTGCAGAGTATGGAATCAATATCTGATTTGTGGTTTTATTTTTAATAGATCTTGATTGAATCCTTTCTCTCTAATTGCATTGCATTGAATTTCTTTTTCCTTTACTATAATCAATTCTATTAATTTTTTCTTCATATGCAGCACTTTGGATGAAGTGAAATTGAGGGAAAAAGGAAGAGCTTTTCATGATCTATTCCTAACCAAGGTTTCTATGTACTATTATGTCTTTTTTCTCTGTTGCATGCATATCTTGTTTCTTCTTGTTTTCCAAATAATGTGGGACCCTTTGAAGGTCATATAAATTTGCTAGGGATGAGAATGCATCCCTATCATATTTGCTTCTTATCATATGTCTGTCTTAGGCTTCAGATATTGTTCCTGTGAATCAGTGAAATTGCATGTACAAATTCTCATAAATATGCGAGATATTGGCATTGCTGATTTTCAAATTGTCATTCCAGTTCATGTTATGCATTCTGACTGAAATATGCTTTATTAATCAGTTGTCACTGCTACTGAAAGGGACAGTTGTTGCACCTCCAGATAAATTTGGTACTTGAAATATTTTTATTGCAGATATCACTTGTTTTTATAAATTAAGTTGTTCCAGATTATTAGCTGTTTTGCTATGAGTCATTGCAGGTGAAACACTGGTAGATGAGAGAACTAATGGAGGAGCATTTGCGGGTGCTGATGGTCTTCAATTGCCACACAAGCTAATACCCGTAAGCTAAATAGATGATTGACTTCAAATATTCTTGCAAACTGGATTCTTTTATGTATTTCTTGTTTTTGGTTATACTAATGTCCTGGATATAATCAGTCAAGTTTGCTTTTCACTTCAATCTCTAATTTATGCTGATTTTTCGAATTGACTTGACCAGATCTCCTGGTTTTAAAATGATGTTTTCCTTTTTTCCTCAATCCCTCATAAATACAATGAGTGGTAATCCATGAGCAAGAAATTTTGCCAGACTCTGCTAAAGTGGGTTTCATTGGTATTTAGAATTCTGGAATGCGTCTTTATGGAGGTGCACAATATCATCGTGCCATGGCTGAATTCCGTTTTATCGTGGGAGGGATAAAGTGCCCTCCAATTACAAGGGAAGAAATTGTCAATGCTTGTGGAGTCGAAGATATTCATGATGGAACAAACTACTCAAGGTATGATCTACTTATGGCTTATCATCTTTCTGTTGCTAATTGTTGATTTTCATCTCATGTGCAACAAACATTCTCATTTTATCTCTTTTCCATCTTTTTATTTTGGAAATCAGGACAGCTTGTGTTATAGCTGTTTCAAAGGCTCGTGACACTTTTGAACCTTTCCTTCACCAGGTGACAATTGATTTTAGCTATCCATATCTTTCAGTTACTCTGTTTCTTTTCAAGTTTCTCTGTTGCTTTCTTGTTGTTAACTTAATTAATGTTGGGCAATACTTTAAAATCTGAAACTTAAGTTTTTGAAATGATGGCTAGCCTGTTTGTTAGATCCTAGATCCATTTAGTCCTTGCACTAAAATTACTAGGTAGTAACATTTAGGGCAGGAATAGGCTAGCTTGGGCTCTTTAATAGGAAGATAAAGGGTAAGCTTTTCAACCAGGAGCCTTTGGCCTTGTAGTAATGTATCCCTCTTAGTTGTTGGAGAGTTGTTGGTTCGATTTTCAGACCCACCCCATTAACCTCCAAGGATTCTGCCCGTAGAAAAAAAAAAAAAAGGGTAGGCATTATGTGATCATCCCTGAGATGAAATCCAGGTTCTTACATCCTAAACATCACGAGCTGGGAGGATGTATGATGGTCCAAAGGAGCAAGGCATCACATTAAACAACCAAACTTGACTGGTTAAGAGTTTTAATTTTGGCTGCTTGATATTTGTTATTAATGCCCAAACTGACAGTTCTTTTCCTTGTATAGTTGGGATGTAGGCTCTTGCACATTCTGAAGAGATTACTTCCTATCTCTATCTATCTTCTTCAGGTTCGTGCTCCTTTTGTTTTGCTTTGTTTTGTTTTTTTTTTTTTAATTTTATGTGCTTACAGAATGTAGGGCTATCATATAATTAAATGTTGCACTTCTTTGTATTATAATTTATCCTTTCTAATATTTCCTGATTTCCAACAGAAAGATGGTGAATATTTAAGTGGACATGAGGTGTTTCTCAGGCGTGTTGCTTCTGCTTTCAACAACTTCATTGAATCTACCGAAAGAGCTTGTCGTGAGAAGTAGGCCACTTTCCTGTTGCCTCTGTTACAATCCAATTGTTTTCATTAACAATAATTTGCAATTCGTATAGTTCAGTAATTTGTTTCAGTTTCTGTTCTTTCTGTCAATCGCTTGATGGTGAAAGTACTAAACAAAGCATAATTTTTTTTGCCAAAAAAAAAAGCATAATTTTGCTTGGAGCTGTTTTTGTGATCAAGTCATTAATTTAATTAAGCTGTTGAACTCTATAAACCATAAAGAATGTAGTTTGAAATTTCTTGACAAATGCATTCTAGTAATTGTTAGCTTTATAGGTGAGATGATGATCCAAGAAGAGTGAATTGGATTTCTCCAAATTCTTCCCAAACAAATGATTTCAATATAATTGAATGGAAATTAAAACAATAAGCACTTTTGATGAAAATATAATGCTAACAATAACAATTAATGAACCTAAAATCAAATATAAACAACAATAAATTGTAAGGAGATAGGGATAGAGAAATCAAACACAATGATTTATAGAGATTCGGTCCTTCTCCACAAGACACTTATGTCCTCTCTCTTGGTTGTCCACACCAAGGCTTCAATCTACTAATTGAAGAAAAATTCTTACAAGATACAAGCCTATCTTGTACTAAATCTCTATCTTTTTCTCAAAGCTTAGATAGCAACCTCTACCCTTACAATATCAAGAGGATACCTTACCTCTTGTTCTCTTCAACTCTTGTATATCAAAGGTAATTTTTCAAACAATTGAACAACCTCTCTAAGGCTAAGTGTTTGCTAAGTTTAAGTACAAGAAAATGATGAATGAACAACAAATATAATTTGGATACAATAAATACAAAGGTATGGACTTTGAAGTTCTAAAAACTCTTGATTTTTGAGAGAATGAAAATATGGCTTGTTGGCTCTTGCTCTCTTGATTCATCAATCTTCTTGGTGTGTTGGAGTGCCCAATTTATAGAGAAATTGAAGAAGTAGCCATTGGGGAAGCTTGGAGTGAAGAAATGCTTGTTGGAATCATGAAAAAGTAGCCGTTGGTGTGCTTGCGCCCAGAACTGATCGATCCCTTGCTTGAGGGGATCGATTGGTTCATGTTTTGAACCATTTTTCACTTGAAAACAGTCTAACCGATCGATCCCTTTTTGTAGGGGATCGATCGGTTAATGGGGTGATCGATCCCCTATGTGGGGGGATTGATCTCTTTTCTGGATTTTTAGTCTTGGGAGCATTCTGTTTGAAAAAGCAATCGATCCCTTCTAGAAGGGATCGATCCTGTCTATGCTGGGTGATAGTCTCTCGTTTTGCACTTTACTTACTAATTTGATCATATCTTGAGTTAGACAAATCCAAATTACAAACCGTTTTAAGATTTAGAAACTAGACTTAAAGGGCTTTTCAATCATATGAAATTCAAATATTAAAACTTTGTGAATTAATACAGAAAAATAAAATAAGTTCAATGTTAAAAAACTTTGTTCTTGTAAAACAGCTTTCTTAAGTTAATCTTTTTCTCAAAACCAATATTATCAAAATTGTATTAAGTCCAAAATAAACAAATTCACTTTAAAAACAACAATTGGACTTTTATTTAAGCTCGAATAAATAATCTTTAAAGATAGATTTGGTTTGAGAAATATGAAACCAAGAAAAGTTTATTTAAACTTTGAAAATCATATTATTTATTTAGTACCAAAATATAAAACTTAAGAACATGTACTAAATAATTCTTTTTCAAAATTTTGATTAAGTTTATTTGTCTTTAATATTTTGTCATTTCAAAATAAGGATTAATTCAAGGCTAACAGTAATTACTAAAACAAAGATGATGAAGTTTATTAGTCACTAAATATTACCCAGTGTTTGCTATTCGCTGCAGATGCATGGAGGATTTAGTGAGCACAACCCGTTATGTGTCATGGTCCCTTCACAATAAGGTCAGTTACTTATAAGGCACATAGTATTTCTTGCAAGTGAAGCCACCAAATTAGTCTTAAAATTTACTCTAGAAAAGGTCTTATTTCTATTCTAATGTGGTGAATGGGCATTGTTTGTTGCGCATGTCTTCCACTGTAACTTTTGCCATAGAAAAAATTCTTGCAGTTCGTCTACTTTGTTTTGGTTTTATTTTCTTTTTGCCTTTTTTTAGTTGTTCCATATTGCTTTAGGACTTGCATCAAATCTTAAATTTTAAAACTAGATGCATAAATATTGTTCTGCTCTGTTGGTTAATCTGACCTGTTGCTCTGTCCATCTTGCTTTGTATGTTGAATTTGCAGAACCGGGCTGGGCTACGTCATTTTTTAGACTCATTTGGTGGAACTGAGCCATCCAGTGTGGTAGTCAATTCTATATCTTCTGGTATTTCCCAAGAGTTATTGCCTGGGTCAGTTGTTGCAGAGAAGCATGACACCAAGCCAAGAGCAGATATAAAGCTCAATCATCTATGCTCTGGCATTGATTCAACCTCTTCTGCTCAGACAGCTGAAACAAAGCTTGCTGACCTTCTAGATAGCACACTTTGGAACCGGAGACTTGGTCCTTCATCAGAAAGGATTGTTTATGCATTGGTACAACAGATATTTCATGGCATAAGAGAATATTTCTTGGCCTCTGCTGAATTGAAGGTGTGCTTATTTTTAATAGTTTTTCTAATTATTTTTCAGCTCATTCTTTTTCAAAGCTAATTTCTTATTAGTTATATGCATATAAATGGAACACTCAGTTTGTTGCTGACTCCTAATCACTCTCTGTTTATTTGATTTTTCCTCACTATTTATGTCAAATTTTTGCAGTTCAACTGTTTTCTTCTAATGCCAGTTGTGGACAAGTTACCTGCACTTCTCAGGGAGGACCTAGAATCTGCATTTGCTGATGACCTGGATAACGTATTTGACATCACCAATCTGCGGCACTCCTTGGGCCAACGAAAGAGAGATACAGAGATTGAGCTGAAGAGGGTATTCCACATCTCTTTAATTTCTTTTCCAACTGTTAATCCTGGCATGCTTCTTTTCAAATTGACTTGTTATATGTAATGGTTATTTTGCAGATTAAGAGGCTCAAAGAGAAATTCAAGGTAATACACCAGCAACTTAGTTCTTGTCAAAGAATACCAAGTTTGTCGCCTGCTTCTGATTGATTCACGGTCCAAATTTGATAACAAAATCAATCACTTAAGTATGTATGGTACAATTGCATGTACCAATGAGTTTGTTAACCTCCAATAGTGAAAGATATGGGCAGGACAGGAGTCTGTCATGATCTTGGATCACAAACGGTTATCAGTAAGCAAAAGTATTCCTTTTAGACTCTTAGCGGGACAGTGTAACAACTGTAAGTTGGTTAAATGGATGTGAATGTCTTGTTGCCTTTCATTATTTGATGAGTTGATTCTGGCCCCTAACTCTTTTGAGGGTACTTGTTTATGTGATAATTTAATACACTGAAGTCGGACTGATACCAAGTTGATTCAATTCTAATTTTCTATTCTGATCTCTTAATCAACTGATTCTAAAGTATTGGATCCTGTTCTTTTTCAATTTTATACTCAACAACTCAGATGATTTTATATTTCATTTTTCTCTACAGTAAAAGATGAAAGGACTGATCTGGATCTCTTGATACTGGTCTGGCTCTAATTTCATACCTTGTCTTATGGACAACTGAGTAGGCTTACCATTTCAAGTTGTCATGTTATTCATCACAAGTTAACAGATTGTAGTGGGAATTTCAAATGATGCAGCTTCTGGATCTTATATAGTAGACATCCACATCATAGAGAATTTATTTTGCAGAGCACTTCTTTGAAGCTTTTTTGATAATAAGATGCTTAAAAGCAAATAAAGGCTGAGCAATCTGTGGAATTGGATTGACATCCATCTTTTAAGAGAATCTGTCCTATGTACTTTGCAATGATTAGAAATTACTCATGAACTGCATAACCTGTTTTTACAGTCATGGTTCCTTTGTTGTGATATTGTCTGGAAGGTAACTCTTGTAGTGTGACCAGTGGAAAGTTTCTTGTCAAAGCTTGTCGAACTATTACTTTGGGTTGAAGTCATTTTGTGGCAAGAAGGATCAGAATCATCAGCGAAGCTATCCGAATCCTCTGTAATTGCCATAGGAACTTCCACATGAATATCATGGGGTAGTGGAGGAATGGTGGCATCGCCCTGTAGAAGTTGCACAACTCTTCTCATGGTAGGCCTGTAGTCAGGATGGGGATGGCAGCATAATAGACCAAGGGTAAGCACCAGCTTAGCTTCACCTGAATGATAATTGTCGAGTGTGGGATCAATGGCTCTGGTGATCTCTCCTTGAGAATGCTGTTCCCCAACCTAATCCACCAACAGCAGCTCCTTAGCATTTTTCTGGGTCTCAATTGGCCTTCTTCTGCCGGCAACTTCAAGCTTAAGCGTACCATAACTATAGACATCCGTGCTTGTGGTGGCTTTCCCAGTCCTTGTGAGTTCAGGAGCCAAGTACCCTAGTGTACCTACAATGTGTTGTCTCTTGATTGATATCATTTCATAAGTTCTGGCCAAGCCAAAATCCCCAAGCTTGGCATTTAGGTCTTCATCTATCAGGACATTGCTTGGCTTGACATCTCTATGAATCTGATTGCATTCTTCATGGAGGTAGGGCGATGCGTGTGCACCACCTGTTAAAATCTTGTATCGTTGGTCCCAAGTAAGTTTTTTCCCTTTCAGGGGACTATCATCATACAAAAGCTTGTCGAGACTCCCATTGGGAAAGTAATCATAAGTGAGGAGGAGCTCATCTTGCTTCCGGCACCAACCATGTAAGTGTACAAGATTCCGGGGCCTAAGTCGCCCCATGCTTGTAATTTCTGCAACAAATTCTTTCATTCCTTGACGAGAACCATTAGATACCATCTTCATTGCCACTTCTAGCCCTGTACTAGGGATCACCCAGCTATAAAGTCTCCCAAAGCCTCCAGAACCAATAAGGTTTTTCTCTCCAAACCCTCTTGCTGCAGAGAAGAGCTCAGAATACATGAATCTCCAAGCTCCATATTCAATTTCCCAATCCTCCAGAATCTCATCCCCCTCTCTAATTCTGAGCATGATATGAATAAGCACCAATGATCACTAGAAAAACCAGAGTAATACTTGCTAAAGTCGTACCTACTGCAAATCCCTTACCGTGAACCATTTTATTAGACCTTGTCTTGAGAAATGGGAGCTTTCTTGGATCTAAATCTTGTGCCCTTGGCCCAATGGTAAAGCTCCAGCCCTGCACATAATGTAAGGCCTTTAGTAAACCAGTGGAATCAGAGAAGCCAACATACATGTACTCATCTAACACCAATGAGAGATCAATGGGGAATGATATCAAAGGGCGGTGGGGTCTCAACATGCCACGAGGAGATATTGAAACATTCATCAACATCTCCTTGCCGTCATAGTCAATCCAAGCTTGAATGGTTTCTCCGCTCTTGAGAACGATAGAGTTGTTCCTGTTGTCATTTATGTCGCTAGCATTGGCGGAATAGTGAGCAGCTGGCTCTGATACGTTGGATATCAGGCTGGATATATCTTTTCCTACATGGTTATCACTGATGTCATGGAGTTCAAGGTTTTGGACTATATCGAACTCCACTGTGAGGAACGACCATGCTGGTGTCATTTGGAAGGCCTAGGTATTGATTTGCAGGACTTGTCTTCAGCTTTTTGGTTGGCATGAGAACAAAGGCAGGACCACGACCTCCAATATCAGGGTACTTTGGAGGGATAGAGATACAAAATTTGTGTTAAATGTAACAGCTGCAATTTCGTTGTTTTTAGGATTACTTATCTTGAATCGTAGAGGAGATGGATAGAGGGCATGCCCAAGAAGCTGCACTAAATCGTTTGTTAATGCAAATATCTCAACGGACTTGATAAGTGAAGCTCACTCCATGCTCAAATTTGCTTTAAGGAACCCGATATACGTAAAATTTATCTCTGCATGGACAAGGCCTAGAAGGAGGTGAAACAAGAGACCAAATGCCTCCATGTCTGAATTGTGAATTAGATAGTTTTCCAGGAGAATTTTGCAACTGTAATGCCTTGAGTTTGTGAGAAGTTTGGGGCAACTTAACTTTCTGTTATTTCTGGACGACAAACATATATTTCTGATGGGAAATCTTGGAAAACTTGAAACCTGGAAAGTTACATGCCATCATTGGAAATTGTGAATGAAATGACTTCAAGTTAGCCAAGCCTCGATGGCCTTAACTTTAGTTTTAAACATTAACAGGGCGAGGAATAATGGTGTAAGAAGTCGGTATCAGAGAAAATTACTTTTTTAAGGGGCAAGTGATTTTTGAGTTTTGTCCGATATATCTTTTTTTAGAAGATTTAAACAAGTTTATTTATGTTATATATAATGAATTAAAAAATAATTTTTTTTAGTCTTTTAATAAGTTTGAATTCAAACAATAAAAAAAAATATTCTCTTTATCATTTGAATCAATTTCAATCAATCATCCGATAATGATAAAATTACTTTATGAAAAAATAAACTGAAGGACAATTTCATTATTTCGTTTGCTCTCCTAGAATTTGGGATAAAACTGTGCTGTTGGATAGAGTGGAATCAAAATTTACAATAACTGGAATTAATTTAAACCGAAGCATTTCCTTGCAACAAAGAAGAAAATGATGGCAACCACAGACCATCAAGACAAATCCTTACAGATGGATATAAAATAGTAGTTTTCTGTATCTTATACCAATGGTTGTTGTTGACTGTTGTCCATTCAATGGCTTATGAAGGAAAGTATCAGCAACGCCCTTTTTATCTTTATTAGCAAAATTAAGAAGAAAAGCAAGAAGAAATGGCACATACTCGTGCAAAAAAAGGAATTCAAGACAGAGTGCGGAGACAATTATTGTCTGTTTTAATTTAAAAATTTTATTCATAAAATATATTTTATAAATATGAATTTAAATTTTAAGGTCATACTCACAAATAAAAAGGCAAATTATTTGCATATATCAAGTTGGTTAAATGAATTCTTTTACTATTAGATTCTTGATGGGCGTGTCTTGGTCTCTGTTAGGGCTATAGTTCTCTAAGTCGGGCTCCATTTTGGTTAGCCTCCCAGGCCTGAGAATTAAGATTTCTTTGGCCGAGTTTGTGTTGTCTTTGTATGATATGGCTTCCATGGTTTGGTAAGGTGGAATTCACTTCACGTTGTGAAATCAGGATGTTCCTTTCAAGTAAAGGATAAGTAAAAAATATCTTTGCATTTATTGTTAGGTATGACGTTTCATATATTTGTATTATATAAAATATTAAAATTTATATATTTATATTATATTTTATATAAAAATTATGTGTTATAATTTGTGTCTACACAAAAACATAAAATACATTTGTTAAGAGTATTTTTGTATCATAATGGTATAATAGTCTTTTACCATAAAAGATTGGCTCACAATTGAATCAAGGTTATTTTGGTCATTTGATTGAGTTGATATGGCAAGCTAAGCTGACGTGATAGATTGATTTAAGCACGCTTCATCCATGCTGGAAGGTAATTTTTCTCTTAACTCTCTCATTTCTATCTTTGAGCTCTTTCTCTTCTCATTTATTTCATTGATTTGAGTGTCAAAGCACAAATGTTGGAGACAACTCTGACATTTGCTACTAATTAGCCTCATATTTATGATTTTAGATTCTTGCCTATTAGTCCAAGCTTAACACCAACACATTAGTGCACTAGGTAGGGTTTTTTTTAGCTAAGTTTAAAATGGCACCACAAAAAGGTGGATGAGTTCAGCCAAAAATTTGGCCAAAGAGCTCGGACTTAGTTCGGTTAAAGAGTTTTGATCGATAAATTACCTTTATAAAGATATAAATGACAAAAGAGCTTGGCTAAAGAATTTGGATTTAGCTCAAATTGATAAATTACCTTTATAAAGATCCAATTCGACAAAAATGCTTGGCCAAAGACCTCGAACTCAACTTGGATCGATAAATTACCTTTATAAAGGTCTAATTTGGTAAAAGTGCTCAACTAAAAAGTTCGAACTCAACTTAACAAAAGAGCTCATTGCGTTAAATTGTCTTTATAAAAGCTTAACTCAGTCATCTCAGCTAAAGAGCCTACCTTGACAAATTAACTTAAAAAAAGCTTAAGTTCGGCAACCTCAGCCAAAGAGTTCATCTCGATAAAATACATTCATAAAAACTTAGTTTCACCTCGGTCAAAGAACTTATCTTGACAAATTACTTTTAAAAAGGCTTAGCACAGTCACTTTGACCAAAAGGCTTGTCTCAGCAAATTGCTTTCATAAAGGCTCAGCTCGGTCACCTCGACCTAAAAGCTTGTTTTAATAAATTACTTTTATAAAGGCTTAGATTGACCATTCTAATCAAAGATTTTATCTCGACAAATTGACTTCATAAAGGTCTAGCTTGACAAAAAAATGCAATTGCCTTCATAAAAGCCCAGTTTGATAAAAAAAGCTTAACTCAACCAAATCTTATTGATAATTAGTTTCGTTATATTTTTTTAATAAAAAAATAGCTTGGCCAAAAAAGATTAGCTAGACTGAAAGATATCAACTTGGCCAAAAGAGCTTAGTGTGACCAAATTTTATTTATAAAATATTAGTTTCGTTACATTCTTTTAACAAAGAATTAGCTCGGCCAGAGAGTTCAGGTTGGCTAAAAAAGCACAATTCGACCTAATTACTTAGCTTGGTAAAAGAACTCACTATAGCATAAATTGCATTAAAAAAAGCTCACATTGGTAAATTTTCTTTCAATAAAGCTCCATTTAGCAAAATTGTTTTCAAAAGAGTTTAGTCTGATATAGATTAACCTCAACATAAATTACTTTAGCATAGATTTACTTCAGTGTAAATCATAATGACACAGGTTCATCTTGATGTAAATCATCTTGATACAAATTTACCTTAATGTAAATCTCCTCGATACAAATGAATTTATAATCTCATTATAAAAACTATCAAGTGTCACCTCGATTTTTAAGTAACTAACTTACAACCTAAAGGCTCTCAAGTTGGTTGCCTATTAACCTTGGCTGGAGTTAAATATTTAACAAACAAAGTCAAACTATTATTGTTATTCTAATAGTCATCCACGTCAAATGAATCATAAAATGATATCTTATCATGTTGTACCTTAGACTACTTGTGTAACTAAAGGCTGAACAACAAAATTGACATTCAAAGTCTGAACTTGGATGTATCCCTAAACTTCAACAAATCAACTAAACCCAATGTAGGTTGGGCACCTTGACTTGACCTTCGTCTTAATCTTCAAACTGTTTGTTGGGGGAACATATTGTTAGAGGCATTTTTAGGTCATAAGGATATAATAGTCTTTTAGCATAAGAGAATGGCTCATAATTGGATCAATGTTATTTTAATCATTTGGTTTAAGTTGATATGGTAGACTATGTTGATAGGTCGACTAACCTAAGCACATCTCACTCATGCCAGCCTGTTTAGTTAGCAATCCCTTATGTATAAATACCTTTTCACTCTTTCTAAGTAAAATTGGGCCAATTTTTCTTTTAACTCTCTCATTTTTATCTTTAGGCTCTTCCCTTTCTCATCTATTTTACTAACTTGAACGTTAGAGTATAAATGCCCAAGATAACTCTCGCATTTACTCTTAATTGACCTTGTACTTATGATTTCAAGTTCTTACCCTCGAGTCCAAGCTCAGCACCAACACGATTTTTTTTTAATTTTATTAAACTCATATATAATTATTGCTAAAATTTTAAACTGTATCACTTATCCTATTTTCATATCATGTTGTGTCACTATATCATGTTTTAAATTACTAAAACTACACACACTTTGTCCTACTATAAAAGCTTGCAAGGTGAAATAATATTTTACAACCTACTTGGAAAAAATTTTGTGAATTTCGAGGGTCCTTCGAATTAATAGCATTTGCCCACAATTACAAGCAACTTCCACTTTCATCTTGTTTGGTATTACCGCAATATACAAAATTAATCAAGGAAGAATTTATATTTAATGCACTAATAGAATATGTGTTTTATATATTATTAATAAATAATATAGTTCATAATACCATATAATTATTTTAAAATTTTAAAAATAGTAAATTTAAAATTTAAATTCAAATACATATAATCCATTTTATCTCCAAATTACAGCATTGTTTGTATAAAAAAAATCTATTATCTAATCTAGAATTAAAAAGTAACCGGTTGATATTGTTATGCTTTACCTTGCAATAATGTGTGTTAATTGAGATTCTTCATAAAATATTTGTTCCTTCTGTTTCAAATTATTATCTTATACATCTGTAATATATATTTTTAGATTTTAGAAGTATATTTATATGCTCGACATGTGTTTATTTAATTATAAATAAACAAGTCAATTAATTGAATCATTAAGTAAACCCATATACTACAATTAAATAAATACATGACAATCTTTTTATAAAAAAACCAATAAATTCATGAAAATTGATTTTGTAATAATGTAAAATTAGAAAAAAAAAATCTAGGTAGAGAAGGTCTAAGATGCAAAAGATATATATAAGACAAATAATATAAATTCATTCCATTATATAAACCAAAATGTATGGGATGTTGATTTTTCTATGGGGGCATATGTTTGTGCTCT